CATAAATTTTATAGTATTGCATTTGTGCACCTGGGTTGTGTTGTATTGTACTGTATTGTATTGTATTTTAACCTATTTTATGCTGAAGAATAGATTCTTTTGAACTATGGTGCTGGAGAAGACTCTTGAGAGTCCTTTGGTCTGCAAGAAGACCAAATCAGTCAATCCTAAAAGAAATCAACCCTGACTGCTCCCTGGAAGGCCAGATAATGAAACTGAAGCTCAAATACTTTGGCCACCCAATGAGAAGGGAGCACTCACTGGAGAAGACCCTGATGCTGGGAAAGATTGAAGGCCAAAGAAGACGGGGACGGCAAAGGATGAGATGGTTAGACAGTGTCATAGATGCAACGAACATGAAGTTGAGCCAACTTCAGAGGACAGCGGAAGACAGGAAGGCCTGGTGTGATCTGGTCCAGGAGGCCACGAAGAGTCAGACTCGACTGAGTCCATCAGTGGCTATTAGCCACAAGGTATAGATAGGGGCTCTGGGGCAAGTGATGCTCTGTCATCTTGGTGCTTGGGGGGGTCAACAGTGGGAGGGCTTCTAGTGTCCTGGCCCCACTGGTGGACCTCCTGATGGCACTGGTATTTCTGGCCACTGTGTGATACAGAGTGTTGGACTGGATGGGCCTTTGGTCTGATCCAACATTGGCATCTCTTATGTTCTTATGTTCTTATAGTGTCAGAGCTTGGAAGCTGAGTAGGGGTGGCGATGGTCAGTACTTGGATGGGAGACCATCAAGCGAAGGGTGGTTACTATGCGATGGGAGGCAACAGCAAAACCACCTCTGCTCCTCTCTTGCCTCGAAACCCCCACGGGCCTGGATTCACCGTGAGTCGGTTGCGACTCAATGGCACACAATGATTAATGTTAGTATCAGAGGAACGCCGCTTGATCAAAGCAAGAGCCCTTCCAAAATCCTGGTTCTATCAGCTGCCAATGAGGCACTTCCAGGACTACTGCAAAGCTGGGCAGAGAGACACTAGCCGTCCAACAGCTTGATGTCCCCAGCATTTAAGATACACTGCTTTTGAATCTGGAGGCTCCACGGGTAACCTATCCTCCAAGAATTTATCTAATCTTCTTCTAACACCTGATTTATACGTGTGGCAATGGAAGAACGGCCTTCATCATTGTAGACTGCAGGTGGGGGGCAGTGTTCCCTCTAAGCTGAGTTAGTGTGCGCTAGCTCACAGTTTTTTAGCCTCTGGCTCACACATTTTTGCCTCCGCTCAGGAAGGGAGGGCTCCAGAGCAAACGGATTTATGCAGTAGCCAGATCACTCGCTCACAAATGTAATGCCAGCAGCTCATGAAGTAGAATTTTTGCTCACAAGACTCCAGAGCTTAGAGGGAACATTGGTGGGGGGGACTCCCAGTTTTGACCATCCCTTCATAATTTAAAAAAATTATTGTAAAGAAGCACTCTCTGCATAGGGGGGCAGCTATGGGGAATCTTTGCGGCGTTAATTAAGCAAAGTGAAGAAATAAATCAGAGCCATGCCGTGTATGTTTGAGCTTTAACGTAAAAGTAATCTTTATCTAGAAAGGGAAGGTTATACATTTGGAGGATAAGAAAATACATTCTAGTTTTCTAGAACTACAACTGAACCATTGCACGGTTAAAGGCTAAAGACGGTACCTCTCTCTCTGCTCGCAACTCTCAGAACAAAGACAGGAAATTCTGCCAGAAAACATCAAACCAACTGCCCGTCTGACCCAAAAAGCACATCTTCGACCCAATATATTGATTGGCCAATGACAAGACTAAAGATAACGGTCAGTTCTACTGAAACACCACCCACTCGAACCCTGGGAAACTTTCTCTACTTCTAATTGGTTACAGCTTAGCTAGGTAACATCCTGTTTACACACAACCTCAGCTTAACCCTATCACGACCGAAGTGTTGACAACTCACAAACAGTGTTCCCTCTAAGCTGAGTCAGTGTGAGCTAGCTCAGTTTTTTTAGCCTCCAGCTCACACAGTTTTGTCTTAACGCAGGAAGGAGGGCTCCAGAGCAAACTGATTTATGCCGTAGCCAAATCGCTCACTCACAACTTTCATGCCGGTTGCTCACAAAGCAGAATTTTTGCTCACGAGACTCCACAGCTTGGAGGGAGCACTGCTCACAAATATCCCGACACTCTTTAAACAGAGAGGACCAATCCAGAAGATCCTCCACCCGCGGCCAGAGGTGGTCCACTCCTTTCGACTGACTTCTTCTCTTGTATGATAACAATGTGATGAATAGTTTAAGAGAGACACAGGGTCTTTCCGCCTTTATTGGGGAATCTTCCCTTTCCCTTCCCGGCATCTCTTTACCTCCCACCCCCACCTGAATAGGGATCTTATTTCTGAAGTTACCCCCCCCCCATCTTTTGGATTCCCTTAGAACTGGCCAGGTATGGGAATGAAGGGTTTTCTAGGGTTAAACACAAAGCAAGCTGACCTAGATAACCCAGGTTAGCCTGATGTCATCAGAGCTTGAAAGCTAAGTGGGTTTGGCCCTGGTTTGTGTTTGGATGGAGGAGGAGATTGGATGTATCACTACCCAAAGGCGTCTCAGAGCAGCTTCCAAACTCCTTTCCCTTCCCCTCCCCACAACAGACACCCTGTGAGGTAGGTGGGGCTGAGAGAGCTCTTGACAGAAACTCCTCTTTTTCAAGAACAGCTCTGAAAGAACTATGGCTTGGTCAAGGTCATCCAGCAGGTGCAAGTGGAGGAGTGGGGAATCAAACCTGGTTCTCCCAGATTAGAGTCTGTGCACTTAACCACTACACCGAACTGAAGAAGAAGATGAGGAGGAGGAGGAGATTGGATGTATACCCCGCCCTTCACTACCCAAAGGAGTCTCAGAGCGGCTTACAAACTCCTTTCCCTTCCCCTCCCCACAACAGACATCCTGTGAGGTAGGTTGGGCTGAGAGAGCTCTTGACAGAAACTGCTCTTTTTCAAGAACAGCTCTGAAAGAACTACGGCTTGCCCAAGGCCATCCAGCCAGGTGCAAGTGGAGGAGTGGGGAATCAAACCCGGCTCTCCCAGATTGGAGTCGGCGCACTTAACCACTACACCAAGGACGTCTGGATTTGCTACGCAGAGGAAGGCTATGACAAACCACCTCTGAAAGTCTCTTGATCAGTGGTGGGCCGACATTTTGGGGACCCTGGAGATTGAACAGGTATGGGGGCCCTTTCTTGACCAGCAACAATGGGGCAACATCCAACAAAGGTCCAAAGGGCCTTGCTAGCCTTGCCAGGACCTTGAAGCCAAATGGTGAAGGACAGGGTGGTGGGGTGGAGCCCTTGAGAATGGGCCACACAATGAGCCCCTTCCCACCAGCAACAAGGTCCGGGTAACTGCTATCTTCTTTAGCGAGGTTGTTCCATGGCAGATCACCACAATTATAACCACTGCATCTTCTGGGAGCCTGACTAGAAAATAGCCCCAGAAAAACACAGTTGCGATTGCCCTGATTCTAATCACGGCTTTGCAGTTTGTGAACGACACCACAGAGCTGCCCTCCCACCCACCCCGCTCACAAGTTTCCCATGATTTGTAAGAACGCAAGAGTAGCCATGTTTGATCAGGCCAGTGGCCCATCCAGGCCAACGCTCTGCGTCGCACAGTGGCCAAAACCCAGGGGCCATCAGGAGGTCCACCAACAGGACGAGAACTCCAGAAGCCCTCCCAATGTTGCCCTTCAAGCACCGAGAATACAGAGCATCGCTGCCCCAGACATAAGAACATAAGGGAAGCCATGCTGGATCAGGCCAATGGCCCATCCAGTCCAACACTCTGTGTCACACAGTGGCCGAAACCCAGGGGCCATCAGGAGGTCCACCAGTGGGGCGAGAACTCCAGGAGCCCTCCCACTGTTGCCCCCCCCCAGGCACCAAGAAGACAGAGCATCACTGCCCCAGACATAAGAACATAATAGAAGTCATGCTGGATCAGGCCAATGGCCCATCCAGTCCAACACTCTGTGTCACACAGTGGCCAAAACCCAGGGGTCATCAGGAGGTCCACCAGCAGGGCGAGAACTCCAGGAGCCCTCCTATTGCTGCCCCCCAAGCACCGAGAATACAGAGCATCGCTGCCCCAGACGTAAGAACATAAGGGAAGCCATGTTGGATCAGGCCAAAGGCCCATCCAGTCCAGGAGCCCTCCCATTGCTGCCCCCAAGCACCGAGAATACAGAGCATCGCTGCCCCAGACGTAAGAACATAAGGGAAGCCATGTTGGATCAGGCCAATGGCCCATCCAGTCCAACACTCTGTGTCACACAAAACCCAGGGGCCATCAGGAGGTACACCAGTGAATCGATTCTGGTGAGCTCAGTGAGTCCCTACAGCTGGGGGTTCGGGTGCTACAAGCCCTCCAAGAAAAAAATTTGAAATCTGACCCATTACAGGGACATTCTGAGGCCATTCGAAACGGGCGTTAGAGCATATTCTAAGGTCCATATTAAGTACTTCAACCGCTTGGCTTACAATTCTGCCACTGAGATAGCCTTATTTTAATCACAAACACTTAAAAAAAACCCTCCATTATGTTGAAAAATCCACTCATTAAAAAGAAAGTTGCTTCATGGCCCCTCCAGGATCAGGGGCCCTGAAACTTCAGCTTTGTTAGTTTCATAGTAGATCCACCCAGTCCCATAGCCACAGCGGGGCATTTAGGGGCAGTGCCCCCTCACTCATGGCTGACGCCCCAGAACCCCCCACCTGTGGGAGCTGTGCCAGCAGGTAAGGAAAGACCCTTCCCTTTTTCACCTGCCTGCCAACAGGCTCTCTCTCTCTCTCTCTCTCTCTCTCTCTCTCTCTTCCCCACTCCCCCAGTTTTCCCAATGCCCCACCACCCAAAATCTTCTGGCTACGTCCCTGGGGCTGCCATAAGTTGGCCATGACTTGAGGGCACATTCCCACCAGCAGCAACCACTCTGGAAGAAAAGGGATCCAGGAACAACCTCTCCACCCACCCCCCTTCTCTGCCTACCTGGACTCTGGACTCCGGGAGGTTGATCTTGAGAGCCACCTCCTCCCGCATGAAGATGTCCGGGTAGCGGGTCTTGGCAAAGAGGGCCTCCAAGACGTCGAGCTGGGCCCGGGTGAAGGTGGTGCGCTCCCTCCGCTGCTTGCGTGGGGTGGCTGGAGGGAGCAATTCAGGCAGACTCAGGGCAAGCCAGAGATGGACCGCTCCGCCCGGTCCCCCCCACCCCTGAAACCCATCTGTGCTTTCTTCTCAGGGTTGGTCCACCAGGCAGGTCAACCAGGGATGGGAGCTGGAGGGGGTACCAGAGAGCGAAGCTCTCTGGCAGGGCCAACTCGAGGTGTTTCTGCGCCCTAGGCGAGGCTGCCTTATGGCGCAGATGCCAACCTCCCGGTGGGGCCTGGAGACCTGGAGCCCTCTGGAGCCAGCCACCCTTTTGCTGCTGCCACCACCGCCTCCTCCCCCACCACCGCCACCAAAGGGGGGGAGTAGGGGGGAGGCACAGCTTGGTGCTCCATCCAGGGCCCGGCGCTCTAGGCGAATGCCTAGTTCGCCTAGTGGGTGAGCCGGCCCTGGTCTCAGGAAGAGTAAAGGCTGCGATCCAGAAGGACCCGGGCTTACTCGGGAGAAACCCCCACCGCCCCACACACGGTGCTTTGTTTTAACTCTTCTTTTTAAAGATCAGACTTCAAAGACGCATTCGGAGGCCCCCTTCAAAGAGCTCTGTGTGTATTTGTCTGGGGGGAGCAGTGTTCCCTCTAAGCTGAGTTAGTGTGAGCCAGCTCACTGTTTTCTTAGCCTCTGGCTCACGCATTTTTTTTGGGTCTTAGCTCAGGGAGGAAGGCTCCAGAGCAATGTTCCCTCTAAGCTGTGGAGTCCTGTGAGCAAAAATTCTACTTTGTGAGCTACTGGCCTTCAAGTTGTGAGCGAGCCATTTTGCACCTGCATAAATCAGTTAGCTCTGGAGCCATCCCTTCCTGAGCAAAGACAAAAATGTGTGAGCCGGAGGCTCCACTGGTGGCCCCACTGGTGGACCTCCTGGTGGCATCTGGTATTTCTGGCCACTGTGTGACACAGAGTGTTGGCCTGGATGGGCCTTTGGCCTGATTCAACATTGGCGTCTCTTATGTTCTTAAAAAATGGTAAGCTAGCTCACACTAACTCAGCTTAGAGGGAACACTGCTCCAGAGCAAATGCATTTCTGCAGGGGCCCAATCGTTCAGTCACCACTTTAATGCCAGCAGCTCACCAAGTAGAATTTTTGCTCACGAGACTCCGCAGCTTGCAGGGAACATTGGTGTGTGTGTGTGTGTGTGTGTGTGTGTGTGTGGTGTCTCTAATTCACTCGTGGGGGTACCCCAACCTTTCTCAGCACAAAGGTTCAGCCCCGAAATAAGCCCCCCTCCCTCACCAACCAGGCGCCCCCGAGATCTTCCAGCAGGCCGGTAGCCACAGTGAGGCACTCTGGGACCTGGCCCCCTCTGACTTCCCGCCACGCCCCCGGACTTCCATGCAGGCCCCAAGCCCCCCAACTCGTTGGGCCACCTGGAGGACTCCCCACCACCACCCCTTCCCCAAGCGCAGCTCGCTTCCCGCGTAGGCAAGCAGACTGCAAACACTGCAAAAGTGGGTTTTTAAAATTTTTGTTTTTATTTGTTATGTTGTGACGTCTTTTTTAAAGCCGCCGCCCCCGAATTACAAAAACCTGGCTACGGGCCTGTCTCCCAGATGTCTGAAGCACAGTCTCCGGGATTCGCCAGGCAATGTTCCCTCTAAGTTGAGTCAGTGTGAGCCAGCTCACCATTTTTTAGCCTCCGGCGCACACATGTTTGCCTTCGCTCAGGAAGAAGGATCACTCCAGAGCACACTGATGTATGCAGCAGCCAAATCACTGGCTCACAACTTTAATGCCAGTAGCTCACAGAGTAGAATTTTCGCTCACAAGACTCCACAGCTTAGAGGGAGCACTGGTGGCCAACCACTATTTATTTGATTGATTTATTTATTTTCTAGTCTTCCCTCCCCGCAAGCGGGCTCAGGGCGGATCACAGAGCCTAGGGAACGTATACTCGGAAGTAAGTCCTTTTGATGACAGTAGAATTTGCTACCCCCTCATTGGTGAGCAGGATGACCAAAGTGACGTCGATAGATCCAGGTGTTGGTCTGAAACGGGAGAACGCATTTAGAGTCCCGTGGGGCACCTTTAAAATGGACAAAGGTTTATTCAAGGTAGGAGCTTTCCTTTGCAAGGCACCCTTCCTCAGATCCATTGGAACGGCGTGTCATTTCCCCGTCTATACGTCTGAACCTTACCTACCATTCCAATGTATTTGAAAAAGCGTGCCTTGCACAGGAAAGCTCCTACCTTGAATAAACCACTGGTGGCCTGAAAGGGGCCGCTGGACTCTAAATCGGTTCCAAAGTTATGTGGGTTTGCGAAAAGGCGGGGTGAATTGGGGGTGGGGGTGGGGAATGAGATGTACTCCGACAGTCCGACCCCCCCTTTCTTTTCCCACAAGTCCCCCCCCCTCTATCATCGGGGGAGGACAACCAAGACCCCCACCCCAAGAAGGTGAAAGTGAGACTTAACGCCCCCCCTCACACACATCAAAGTAGGCGAGAAGAAACCCCGGGGTAGCCCCTTTCCACTTGACCCCCCTCTATAAAAACCTTCTTGTGGCCCTTTCTTACACGCCCAGGGAAATGCTGATTGCCACTCTGAAGAAGAAGAAGAAGAGATTGGGTTTATACCCCGCCCTTCACTACCCAAAGGTGTCTCAGAGCGGCTTACGAACTCCTTCCCCTCCCCACAACAGGCACCCTGTGAGTGGGCGGGGCTGAGAGAGCTCTGACAGAAACTGCCCTTTTTCGAGAACAGCTCTGACAGAACTATGGCTTGCCCAAGGTCATCCAGCCAGGTGCAAGTGGAGGAGTGGGGAATCAAGCCCGGTTCTCCCAGATTAGAGTCCTCGCACTTAACCACGACTCCCAACTTTGGGGCCAGGAAGCCATTTTTCTCCAGGCCAATTTGGTCAAGGATCCTGGAGGGTTGTTTTTTTTTTTTTGGCCATCTTGGAGCAGGGGTCACTGGGAGTGTGGGGGGAGATATTTGTGGCTGTCCTGCTTTGTGCAGGGGGGTTGGACTAGATGACCCTTGGAGGTCCCTTCCAGCTCGCTATGATTCTATGATAAAGCCGGGGAACCCCCCCCCCCTTGGATCCGCCTCCCCGTTTCCGCTTACCCGGGTACCCGACGGACGGGTGCAGCAGGTCCATCCCGGAGGTGGTGAGGCTGAGCCCGTTGACGGCGTAAGGTGGTTGCTTGAGATACGACATCATGCTAAAGTTGGGGCGCGGCGGGGGGAAAATGGCCAAAAATCCCCCCCGGGCGGGGGCGAGGGGGAGGCGGGAGGCGAAGAGGCGAGTTCCGGATCTCCCCTCTTTTCTTTTCTCCTCGCCTCTCCTCCCTCTGTGCCTCGTCTTCTTCAAGAGCTTAGGGTGTAGAAGTCTCGACTCCGGGAGCGGACATCTGGCGTCTAAGAAACAAGACAGAGAGAAGCCATTCTTAGAAGCGGGGGGCGGGGTGGGCTGGGGGAAAGAGAAAGGGAGGTGGAGAGAGAGAGACCCCCGACCCATTGTTCCCTCTAAGCTGAGTGAGTGTGAGCCGGCTCACAGGTTTTTTAGCCTCCAGCTCACACATTTTTTGTCTCCAGAGCAGTGTTCCCTCTAACATGAGTGAGTGTGAGCCGGCTCACAGTTTTTCAGCCTCCAGCTCACACATTTTTGTCTCCAGAGCCGTGTTCCCTCTAAACTGAGTTAGTGTGAGCCGGCTCACAGTTTTTTTAGCCTCCAGCTCACGCATTTTTGTCTCCAGAGCAGTGTTCCCTCTAAGCTTAGTTAGTGTGAGCCAGCGCACAGTTTTTTAGCCTCCAGCTCACATATTTTTGTCTCCAGAGAAGTGTTCCCTCTAAGATGAGTTAGTGTGAGCCGGCTCGCAGTTTTTTAGCCTCCAGCTCACACATTTTTGTCTCCAGAGCAGTGTTTAAGCTTAGTTAGTGTGAGCCAGTGCACAGTTTTTTAGCCTCCAGCTCACACATTTTTGTCTCCAGAGCAGTGTTCCCTCTAAACTGAGTTAGTGTGAGCCGGCTCACAGTTTTTTTAGCCTCCAGCTCACGCATTTTTGTCTCCAGAGCAGTGTTCCCTCTAAGCTTAGTTAGTGTGAGCCAGCGCACAGTTTTTTAGCCTCCAGCTCACACATTTTTGTCTCCAGAGCAGTGTTCCCTCTAAGCTGAGTTAGTGTGAGCTAGCTCCGGTTTTTTTAGCCTCTGGCTCACAGATTTTTGTCTTAGCTCAGGGAGGAGGGCTCCCGAGCAAACTGATTTCTGCAGTAGCCAAATCGCTGGCTCACAACTTGAATTGCCAGGAGCTCACAAACAGTGCTCCCTCTAAGCTGAGTGAGTGTGAGCCGGCTCAGAGTTTTTTAGCCTCCGGCTCACAGATTTTTGTTTTAGCTCAGGAAGGAGGGCTCCAGAGCGAACTGATTTCTGCAGTAGCCAAGTCGCTCGCTCCCAACTTGAATGCCAGTCGCTCACAAAATAGAGGTTTTGCTCACAAGCAATGCTCCCTCTAAACTGTGGAGTCTTGTGAGCAAAAATTCTACTTTGTGAGCCACTACTATTCAAATTGTGAGCCAGCGATTTGGCTGCTGCAGAAATCAGTTTGCTCTGGAGCCCTCCTTCCTGAGCGAAGACAAAAATGTGTGAGCCGGAGGCTAAAAAAACTGTGAGCTAGCTCACACTCACTCACCTTAGAGGGAACACTGCTACAAAAGACTCCACAGCTTAGAGGGAGCATTGCCTCCAACCCAGCCCAGTCCAGTCCCGATAAGCCGTCGCCTTGGGGGGAAGAAGAGGAGGAAGAGGGGGAAGAGGAGGAGGAAGACGACTACGACGACAACGAAGACGAAGACGACCTTATTTTTTGCAGACACTGACCGGCGATTCTCGCGAAATCGCCAAGATGGCAGAGACCCGAGGGCTAGCGCAGGGTTCCCTCTAAGCTGAGTTAGCGTGAGCCAGCTCACCGTTTCTTAGCCTTTGTCTCAGCTCGGGAAGGACGGCTCCGGAGAACAAACTGATTTCTGCAGTCGCCAAATCGCTCGCTCACAACCGGTGTTCCCTCTAAGCTGAGTTAGTGTGAGCTAGCTCCGTTTTTTTTAGCCTCTGGCTCACACATTTTTGTCTCAGC